TGTTTTCGTTTTTCGTCAAAATCTATCAGTAAATTAATACGTTTCTAGTTGTAAAGCAAGTTTTCCATTTCTATCTTCTCGCTTTGATTTTCTTATTCGCAAGCCAAAGAACGACAAGTGCATTTAACAAGACAAAAGAGTAATTTTCAGCAAATCCATGCCCCACTGCATTCTTGACTTCTGTTTAAGAATAAGGCAGTTGGAATCATGCACGTCTTTAAGGAGAGCGTTGCTATCAATCTCTTTCCATCTAATACCATACGACTGTCTGTTAACATGTTTAAATCCTGTAAGCCCTGAAACAATGCCCAAGATTATCAAGGCAAATACCATTGACTACACCCCTTTGACGTCGATATTCAGAATTTCTTTCTCTTGGGCTGGATTTTGGCAATCTATAAGTATAGTGAACCTTGCGCAAGCAGAGCAAACTCACAAAAACTGTAATTCTGCGAATCGGAAACCGTGCCATTCGACTTGTTTACGTTGGTCATTTAAGCAGATGTCTTATTTAATTGCTTACCTTAGTTAGACATCCATAGGTCTTTGACTATTTTACCGCTTTATAAATTATTAACGGCTTAAAACTAACAACCAACGACACAAGAAGCACATATTCGTTTCAGTTTCGTTAAAAAAAATTAGGAGGTCTAGTCAATCGGTAAACATGGTATTTTATCTCATTCCATTTTATGCTGCGCTGGCAATTTTGGGAGTTACATCTTTTTCTAGGACCTGTTATTTGCATAAATTAAGCGCATAAAGATACTTCCACTGGATAGGCAATCTCTCCGTCAACTTGGAATTAGGAAGGCAAATTTGAAAGGAATCGAGTTTCTTACCTATCTGACCAGAGAAGAGAGAATGAAGGCGGACGCCTTAATCTTGCACTCAAAGTTGCCTCCATTTTAGCGTCCATCGGCAGTGAACGAGGTTATTTGCAGAACTAATTCCGATTAAACATTGATAAAATGAGCTTGCTTGTCAGAAAAACCACAGCAAAGTGTAAGAGAGGGCTAGAACAAGTTGCTAAATTTGAATATCCTGTATAGAATTTAATTTAAAATTGGACGATAAACACAATCAAATTCGGGCAGACCAAAGTGTAAAATGAAATTCATAGCGCAACAGCTATCAAATATGATATATTATTCCGGCTGCTACCGCACAAAAACATCGCCAGAGGTAAGAAAGATTGTTATAAAGGAGTCTAGAAGAATGGGCAAGAAAAAAAGTGAGGGTATGATTAGTGCCTGAAAAAAATATTCCGTTCGGGTGGCCCAAAGCAAAGTTAACCTGAACTCCAACAAACTGCTTGAATTAGACTGCACGTAAGCGTGAAGTCCGCGAGAGTCATATCAACAGTGCGATGAAGAAGAAGTCGCTGATGTCATATTTGCTGTCTTTGCTAGATACATAATAGTATTGTACACAGGAAAGTTGAAAAAATGAACTCAATCGAAGTGAAAAGTAACAGAATTTCAGGACTGTCGGTTGTTGTCAAAATAACAAATGCAGGTGTTAATGCATAAAGCATTTTTTAACGCAGTCACTGCCAAACGTGCTGACATGATTACAGTAGAGGAATCAATCCTCAAACAGGTGGAGGCGACAGAGCAAACAAAGAACCTTATTCGACATTAAGTGTCATTTCTCCTCATGGCTCATAGGCTGCGCAACGTGCTTTCTAAGGTCGAACGAGAGGCACTTAAAGGGCCGAGAGACGACAGCGACCTCATTATCGTGTCTGCGGACTAAGAACGTTCCCCGTCGTACTGGACAGGACAGCTTACATTGAGAAAGCCAAAAGCTTGTTGGAGGATCGTCAGTCCTATGCCCCGTGCGAATCTGACCCTATGAAGACACTGACACGCGAGATCAACGCGACGCTGTTGGAAGTGGAGAATTCAGGCGCAATATCACTGATCGACTGACACCTGGCTACAGCGCCGCAAACGACCCTAGCCCGATTTCACGGTCTCCCAAAACTGCACAAAAAGGGCAATCCTCTCCGGCCAATTGTATCACTAAAAGGCACTTAAATCTACGGACTGGCAAAGTGACTGTTTCTACATGTCAAGCTTTTGACCTCCGACTCGAACACTGCAGTCAGCTCCTCAACACAATTCTAGTAAAAACTTAAATGGACAAGTCTCCTGCCAAACGACGTCATGGTGTCCTTTAGTGTAATGTCCCTTTTTACCTCTATTCCACGGGACCCGGCAATCAAGACCATCGAACTACTACTAGAAGATAAATATGGTGAAACAAACAATCGCCTCGGACATGCCCACATCCTCCAATTCCTCAAGTTCTGTCTCAAGACGTACTTTACGTTCGACGGAACAATCTACGAGCGGGTGAAAGGCATGGAAATGAGTTCGACGGATTTGGGACTCAAAGCCGAGGCTGTCCTACAACAGTTGGAATCGCTAGTTTTCCGACACCACAGACTGAAATCTTGGGCCCGGTATGTGGATGATACCTTCGTCATCATCGAACGGGTGCAGGTGCTAACATTCGAAGAACATCTCAACGACATCTTCTCGAACATTCCATTTACGATGGCGTAGGAAAAGAACCAGCTAGCCTTTATTGATGTCCGCGTTTGCTGCTGAGATTGTGGTGGACTAGAAACCAATATGTCCAGGGAAGCTACAAACACAACGCAAGTGCTGAATTTTAATAGTAACCACCCGATCGGTCACAAACTCAGCTGCGTAAGGCGCTATACCGGCGTGTTGAGGCGCACTGCAGTGAAACGGAAGACAAGGTTGCTGAATTGCAATGTCTTTGACGAGTGCTGAGATGCAGTGGCTGCCTGCGCAAATTGGTTAACCAA